CGGCTCGGCTCGGCCCGACCCCGAGGAGAGCGGCTCGGCTCGGTTCGGTTCGACCCTGAGGGGAGCGGCCTGGCACGACCAGATCCTCGTTTTATATCTTTAATACCCGTTTTAAACGAACCTTTTAGTAAAAAAGAAGAAAAAAAAAAGGAATTAAAAAAAAAAAAAAAAGACAAAGCCCCCAAATCAACGCAAGAAATAAAAGACCCTCCCATTCAACCGCGTTTGTTGTAGTTGGAGTAGCTTTTTTTTTTTTTGTAATGAATACCGGTTTGTTTTTTTCTTTATTTACAGAAAGGGACGACTTTTTTTTTGGCAGGATGAAGAACTGAAGCGGTATATATATATTGTTATTGCTGAAGCTGAACTTTAACGAACCTTTTACACTGTATTTCCCAGTTGAGATAGTGTGTACTTAATATTGTAGCTCCGCGTTATTTGGCTTTTAATACAGAGGTTTTCTTTCCGGAGCCGCCGTGGCCTTTTGTTGGTCTGTTTTCGCCGGGGTGGAATGGAGGGGTTGCCCCATCTCCCCCATCTGCAAAGGGGCTGCCAAGCTCCTTTCCCCATGGGATGGTATTACTGGGGTTGTTGGCAGGAAAAAAAAGGGGAATCCTATGGTTTTTCTGAACGGTGATTTGTCCTATCCATACGGTAGATTTAGGTTTATGTGCCTACATCAGGGCAGGATGGGGAGCATCCTCCCAGGCGATGTACTTCACGGTGCTCCACAGGGGAAGGGTTTCTCCTTGGTGTTGGGTTGGGTGATTTGGGTCCTGGGAAGAGAAGGCACCTTCTGTGGGATGTCTTAAAAGCAGCCTAGAGGCAAGTCTCTGACTTTCCCAAAGCGCATTCCTCAAAAAACAACTCAAGGCGCAGTGTATTTGTTGAAGGCAAGCTAATATTGTGCCTCCTCTTCATCTCCCAGGGGTGCTCACAGAAAGCCCGTGGGGTGGAGAGAAGGTCCAGAGCTAGGTGACAGCTGCCACCGTGCAAGCATGTGAGGAAGAAAAAAATTGCAAGATTTTCTTGTTAAAGCAGAACAGTTGCGTAGCCCAAAATACTCTTTGTCGTATACTTCCAACTGTTTAGCCTTATAAGAAGTTGTTTTCCTTTGCCTTAGATGTGAATAGTCCAGCTGAAGTATCCAAAACCAAAATGCGAACTGCGTGAGAAAGATTTGCAGTAGGAATTCTCATTCCTTTGTCAACATGAATGTATTTAATTTGTTAGTGACACATGAACTCCCTTGGGGGTAATTTGCTGTATTAGTAACATTTTTTTTCTTCCCTATATTTGGTGGAAATGACTGGATGAAAAGTCTGAGAGGATTCAATTCTTAGGGTTTCTATTTTTTTTAATTGAGAACAAAATAAATGCATGCTTTATGTGTATGCTATCTGGAGGGAAAAAAAAAAAAAAGATGCAGAGAGGAAAAAATTGACAAACAGCAGAAATAAATCAAGATTTTAAAGTGTTCCATGTCACTGGGCTACCTCTACACTCTGTTTCTCCTATTGATCTTAATGGGCAGGTCGCTTGAGTAAGCAATTGCAGTAGTGTTGTTTTTAGAAAGCAGAGGGTCCAGTTGCTGTGAGAGATGTTCGTTCGACCTGTTGATCTGAAGGGCACCTTCCCCTGGATGCATGGTTTACAGAGCCCCGCTTTTCTTTCCTTGGTGTGAAAAACACCATAGTGTCATTTCCACCTTGTGCAAAGTCTTTTGCACAGAAACGCCACGTGCAGGGAGCGGATATTTCCCTGTAATGCCCCGTGTGAGAGGGGAGCATCTGTCCTGAAAGGCAAGGCTAGCGAGAGAACACGGAGCTAATCTTAACACCCTCCTGAAAAAGAAAAGCTCTACGTATGGAATAAACCTCAGAAAAGTTGCCCTGCCAAAAAATAATTTCTTCTTTTAAATGAAGACATGTTTAGTCAGAGCTTTAAGAACTCCTGTTGGAAGTTGTGCTGGCTTTGCAGTGTACAGTGCCTGGTACTCACTGTGATCCAGGGAGCCCATGCTTTAAGTCAAGGTTGAAATCTTTATTTTTTTGTTTATCCTGGTTTCACCAGTGACATGCCGTTGTTTTTTTTCCCTTGAATTGCATTAACATAAGCAAGATAATGGCATTGCTGTCTGAAACTGGCAGCTTCAGTTATTCAGGGTTTGTTATTTGCGGTTCTTACAGACAAATACCAAGAACAGTAAATCTGGTTTGGAATGGTTTTGGCGTATGTCTTCTAACTTCTGCCAGTATCAGCTTGAATACAAACCTTGTGAGCAGGCAGTGCCACGCTTGGAATATTTTGCTGCTTCGCTTTAACAGTGTGATAGAAGAGAAGGATTTGCTTCTATAAATATGCTTGTAAGTGGAGCTGCTATTAAAAATCTGCTAAGATGTGAAGTGTTAAAAACCACAGGGATGGCATTAAAAAAAACCCCCGAAACAAACCCCCAAAAGGCAAATCTTGTCCAGAATACAAAAAAAAAAAAAATAAAAGCAACATTTTCAGGGGGTGCTGATCTCAGCTACAAAGTGCAAAGAGCACTTTGGAGTTAGGGTATTTCTTGAGATCGCAGTAACCCTTTGGGGCAAGCACGTTTCTCCTTGGTAGAGAGAGGACAGTCTGCCTTTCTGTGCCTGAAGGAGTCATTTCGGCACGGCGGAGGGCACAGAGATTACCTGATGCACAGGGTTTAGCCTGGACCTAACTCCTGGAACCCTCAGGTGAGGTGGCAGCAGGGTTTCTCCTGTAAGAGACAGAGAATGGAAGTGCATTATGCAGACCATGAGCTTTCTGCAGTCACTAACACATCCAACACCAGTAACCCTGCTCCCATAGCTGTGGCTGCTCCTATGACTCTTAAGTAGCCGATAATTTTGAGTAACAAAAGGCACACACAGCTTTTCCCTGTGTCCATGGCAATTAAACCCAGAAGATTCAAGCCCAGAGCGGTGGGAAATGATACCTCTCCACACCAGCTAGTTTTAGATTTTGACTCGAGACACCAAAGTGTCTATTTATTTTATTTTCCCTGGCAGTGGAGCTTGAAGGTCTCTTTACTGGGGATGATTTAAAGCCATTTTTATTCATTTGGATTTATTTTTAAGACCAGTTGGTAGCAGGGTCAGTGCAAGAGTGGGATTAGTCACCATATATAATCCTTCATATACTCAGGGCAGGTATATATATGCATATATATACATACATCTATACATGAGGACTTACTGTGCACAACAGAAAGTCAAAAGGGAGAAAAAGGATGGTGAGAAGCAGATAGTACTGAACAAGTAATACTGGTTTTCCTTCACTATTTGTTAGATCATGATTCCTGGTAAATTATCCTGACTTTGTTTATCTATGTGTGTTTGTTGGAGAGCAAGGGACAACAAGAAACAGAGGCAATTTCTCGATTTCCCTTTTTATGTAATTCAAGTGTGTTGAAGATTTTTTTCCCAAGAACCAGGAACTCTCTCTAGAGAGAGACTCAGCGTTAGAAGGCACTAGGCTTGTGTGCTAGTGTGAGACTGGTGCATTTTTTTGCTGTATATTCAGACCTCAGAACTGGATCTCTCTCCTTCACCTACTTGTTTACTTATGTTTTATAGATATAATAGAAGCAGAAGCGTACAGATCAATATGTAGTTTCAGCATGGATGCAGTCTTGCTGTTATTTGGTGCCATATTGATTGCCATCATGAAAATATAAAAATGTAGTACAGTATAATAATTATATATTGTGTAAGCATACTGTTGTTCAATAGGTTATCAGTAATCAAGGGCAGTTTTGCATATCAGGAGGTACGTAGGTATTTGGGGCAAAATTGCCATACTTGGATAAATGTGAGAGTTGTTACTTATTCAGGGCTTAGTTCACCCGTGCTTTTGATGATTAATATGACTGCAACAGCAGTACTATTTGTGCAGTGAATATTACTCAATATGAGTAAGGGCTACCGATCCAGGCCCTAAAAATACTAATTAAAAGCCTCACTTGTCTGAGTAAGTGTTACTCATCATGACCTCCGCTTGCTGAATAAAAGTATCTCCAGGGCTGACATTACATGATGCCAGGGGCTGAACAAAAGCCCGATTAAATCAAATAGTTAATTGAAGTTTTGTATGACTAAAGATTGAAGAATCTATTTTAAAGATACATATCTAATATACGAGTAGGTATTGCATTCTTCATCCTCTCTGGTTTTTATACACAGTTTTCAGTCCGATGTAGGGCCTTGCAACTTTGGAAATAAACTTCTTTCTGAGCTAGTGTGAAAATGTCGGTTATTTTTCAAGGAATTTTACTGAATAAAAGTAATTTTTTCCAACATATTTCAGGGAAAGGCCTTGTTTTTTCAAAAATCATTTTTAATGATTCTGGGAAAATGTTTAAATATAAAATCCAAAATGCATTCAGGTTTCAAAACATAAAACATCTTTTTAACAAGTAACTGATTTTTAAAAGCAAATTTTAAACAAAAATGTCAGTTTCCATTTTTTTCCCTCAGAAGCAGAACATTTCAATGAAGATCATAAGTTCAGATAAGTGTCCTGCATCGCAAAAGTGCTTTTGTGGGGAAATATTTATTTTTTTTACTCCTATTTTTTGTGTGATACACAGCCATGGTCTAGTCATAGTGTTCTCCTCTGTGATTTGGAATTAATCGCAGCTTGTGACAGATAAGGAACTACATTTCCTGTCCCTCCTTCATAATAGCTCTGGTTAAATAAGTAGTTCAAAATAATTGGGGAAAAAAATAGCTTAGCCCGTTGGTTTTGTTTCTATTCTATTATGCCAAGGGAGAAGGTAGCCTGGTATA